ACTGACATAAAATGTATTCATATAAAATCTCAATATAAAATGTCAATTTATTTCCACATATTTGTTTTTTAAATATTTTTTTCACAAGATTCATAGTCAGCCAAAAGTTGTCGTCAAAGATTGAACGGCACATTATGTCTCAGAAAAACAACACTTTTACCTCCTTCAGAAAGGGCACATGAGTTTTATAATGTTTAAATAATGGTTTTATGCATGTTAGATGCTTATAACAAAATACATGTAGCGTTGAATGTGAAATTATTTGTTATAAAAGTAGAAAAATGTAAACAAAGTTACTGTAGTAATTTGACTTCCAAACAAAATACTAAGTCACTATTGCTGTACTAAATGCCGAAAGTGCAACATAAAAACTAGATGGTTTAAGTAACTAGCCAATAGGTATTTTACTTTTTCTGAAACTATAAAAGGACACCAAAAGTAAAAAGATTTAGAGAAATAAAAATTAAAGCATTTTCGGTGCCTACTATGGCTTTTGAGTTTGATTTTATAAGCTTTGTGTAAGAGTTATATCACCTTCTATATAAAGAAGGAATGTAGGTTTTGCCCTGATATATATTAAACAAATGAAACCGTGTGTAGCGAGCCTTGCCAACTCGACGATACAATAAATTCACGAATAAAAACGAAATAAAACGTAATATCTTTTTTTTATTCAACAAGTTCAATAAATTGAGTAATGAAGCTACACGAGTATGTATTAATTACAAATCTTAAATAATTTAGGAAAATAGCACACATAGACTCAATGTTTATTCAAGCTTGTTCAATGTCTGACAACAAGAAGACACAACAACAGAATTCTAAATTTTATAATTAAGAAAAATCAAATATTACATTTTTGGAAAATAGCACACTAACCAAATTGTTTATTAACTCCTTCGACAAAAAAACTAACAAAAATGTCATCAAACATTGTAAAAACGAGCTTGCATGGCATATAAAATATTACAATTGGAATTGATTCATACAGTGTTTAATTCCTGCCAATTATCGAGCTTTAGTTTTTTTAATTAATTCTTTTTTCACTTCGCCACATAAAAACTCTATTACAAGATATTCGTGCATTATGTCAGGAAAGAACGGGCATCTGAATAGAGCCAACGATGTTCAGTCGGCTAAATGGATAGATTCCTCATATGAAATAATCAAATTCCATGAATTGATCCGAAACAACAACGGTGAGGGGCAAGTAGTTTGAAGTCAACTACCATAACGACCTTAAGAGGTCAACCCTAAATATTTTGTACTCGAAATAGAAAGATGCGAAGGGCTCAGAAAAACATTTTCCTCCATGCGGTATACAAACTCACTGCCACACGCTTTCTAGCAAATGAGGACAATAAGCGCTAGATTACACTGCCGTTTTTTTAAAGCTTTACTCCCCTTGATATACTCTGTGTTTTTTTCTTTAATCTTATTGCTGTGGCCTCATTTTTTTGTGTTATGTTTCTGAAAAAGGCTTTTATGCACGGCCGTACACAAGGAAAAATTAGATCAATCTTATTTTTTTTTCACTAATGAAATGAGCCGCGTCACGACAAAACCAACATAGTGAGTTTGCGACCGGCATGGATCCAGACCAGCCTGTGCATCCGCGCAGTCTGATCAGGATCCATGCTTTTCGCTTACAAACTCTAAAACAAGTAGAGAAACTGATAGCGAACAGCATGGATCCTGATCAGACTGCGCGGATGCGCAGGCTGGTCTGGATCCATGTTGGTCGCAAACCCACTATGTTGGTTTTGTCATGGCGCGGCTCAAATAATTTTGACCACAATATTGTGATAAAGCCTAATCATTTTCTGCATACTTCATTTCAGGTATTTATGTAGAGGTATTAAAATGAACACATAACGAGAAATCTTAAAAAAAACAGTCTATTTTCTTTCAAGTCCATTAAATTAACAAATGTACTGTATGTCAGTATTTAGTTCCAGTCCAAGGATGATGATGATAATGATGGTGATGATGATGACGATGATGATGATGATGATGATGATGATAAAAAGTAAAAATTTATTTCCAGCTAGTTTTCAGAAATGATGTGTGTGTATAACATGACTTTTGTTAATACAGACTTTATTTGAGCTCAGCTATTACCTTTGTGAAAGACTCTCCGAAGAATCCGTGCCTAAGCAATGAGTGTAAAGTTTCTTGCACAAGGAAACAGCGTCTTGCCCTTGACGGGATTCGAACCCACAAGGCAAACATTCCTTAGATTTCCAGTCCGACTAGCCACTAGGCTATGCCGCCACAATCATGACTGTAGCTCGAGATATTTTGTAACAAAAAATGAATGAATGAATGAATAAAAAAATTGTTTAGAAAAATAATCAAGATAAATCTATAAATAAAGGAAAATGAGCGTAGTAAAGGTGAAGGAACCTAAAACAATCTCCGTCATTTGTAATCATATTCAGTAACGTGAAGCTATTGATATTGATAGAGATAATAATTCTTCAAATGTTTAATAGAAGATAAATGATAAGAAAAGTAGAGAAAAAAATTGAGTGTAACATTTCATTTCCGCTTTTATATCATCATCGGTGATGTTTAATTGTAACATGATACTAAAACACAGTATTCCTTTCATACACTGCATAGCATAATATGAGCCGCGTCATGACAAAACCAACATAATGGGTTTGCGACCAGCATGGATCCAGACGCAGTCTGATCAGGATCCATGCTGTTCGCTATCAGTTTCTTTACTTATTATAGGGTTGGTAAGCGAACATCATGGATCCTGATCAGACTGCGCTGGTCGCAAACGCATTATGTTGGTTTTGTCGTTACGCGGCTCATCAAGAATGATATGGAATATTCCTTTGATCATATATATGTCTAGTATTGCCAACGAAAAATACTATAACAGGAAATTGATGTTATGGTTTTAATTAACGACTTTGAAATGAGAGCAGTTTTGTTCAGTATGATAACTATATCATACATTTCTCTTTAATAATCAATCTATTTAAACAGTGAACATTTCATTGTCATATTACTAAAACCAGCGCATATGCTTTCCTGCGATATCATTGCCGCATTTAAAATCTAAATTTCTTACTATATCTAGAGCTTCTTTGTCATTTAGATTTTGGAAATACATGTACATGTACATTTGAATATAAACAATCGGAAATGCAGTGGCAGGTTTTCTTCCAATTAGCGAGATTAAAATACAATAAAAACAAAATGGTGCGCACAACTGCGAAATGCCAACTGCTGAAGGTGAAAAGAAAACATTTCTGTGGACACATAGCAAGGGGTCTTCACTCTGAAGTGCGACATTCTTATTCAAACTTAATCTGACTTTCTAACAACTTATTTTACTAACTAATTATTTGGAAAATTGATGAACAGATACGGACACCTCAGAAATTGATAAGCTTTTGATTTTTCAATACTTTAGCACTCAGAACTTGCTTTTATTTTCAAACCTAAATTGGCGCTAAAAATTACCGAAAGATAGGTCCTTCGACAATAATGAAAACAACATCAAATATTTCTGGAGAGGGTACCTATTGATGATTTAGGAGATGTTTATATAGTTGTAGGTGCATTGTAACAAGTGAGGATAAAAATTGAGAACACTTAAAATGACAAAGTGTCGAGATTAAGGAAGATTTCTTATTTACAACATGTATATGACCCTACTTCACGAGACCCTTTTACAGCAATAAAAAAGTATTTTATGTACATGTAAACACAAAACAGGATATAAAATATATATGAACATATTTTATTGTATTTACCTTTACATGTCAGCTCTCGATCATTTTATAGGATGTGAATTACAAATAATAAACGATATTGGGTTAATTTAAGTCTTTGGATTAAAGTATTGAAATATGCACATGTGTTATTGTATGTATTTGTGTTATTTTATGTATTTGGATTTAAATGAAGAAGAAAATTAACATGTGGACTTTTAAGTTATTAAAAATACTTTAGTTAATGGTCTAAACACCTATTTTAATTTTAGTGTTATAATGAAGTAATGAACAATGAACTAAGCACATATGTTGACGAACTATATTATATCAAGTTTTTGGATTTTAGTAATAAAATAATACATAAGTTGCATGTAGTAATGAACAATGAACTAAACACATATGTTACCGAACTGTATTATTTCAAGTCCTTGGATTTAAGTTATAAATTCAACACATATGTAAACTAAGGATATTATTTTTGTTATGAGCTAAACGCAGATTGATGACTGAATAATTACCGAAATGTGTTTTCAAGTTTTTGGATTTAAGCAATGAATTAAAGACATATGTTGATTGTAAAGTTACCGAATTCTGTTATTTTCAAGAACTTGGATGTAAGTGATGAACGTAATACATATGTTGACTGTATATAGTTACCGAATTGCAGTTCTTGACATAACACAGGCCTCAGAATTTACAAAAGTAAACGCTATACTTCCAGTCATAGGGTGATGTCAATGTAGATTTTTATTACCTGACGTATTGATTCTGTTTTTGTTGAGCGATGCTGCTATAACTCATAAAGTCAAACGACACGTTTCTTGTCGCTTATTAACTTCCAGTGAGTCATTATTTACGAGGAAGTCTCACTTCTCTAAAGTTTAAGATAACTATAATGAACATGTGAAGCTACAGGCATATTATTTGGAATATTTGATGCATCTTGGCTGTTTAAATAAAGTGTTCATGTACAAAAAAAAAAAAAGTTTTTTTTTTACTCAAAGGCCAGGGCAATAAAGGGAAAAAAAACGGAAGAACAAAAAATATGAAATTCATTTTTAATAATAACTACACAAAATCCATGTAATTTGGATTTTATAAAAAAAATAGAAATACTGATGTGAAAACGTTCACTGAACAATTAAATTATGTTATTGATACATAAGGGGAAGGTTCTAACACACGGCTGAAGGACTTTGCTTTACATTAGCTTTAAAACAATGTAACATACAAAAAGGCCAGGAAAATGTTTAAAATATGTATAAGGAGAAATGCATATATAGAGTAATTTATCTATCCATTGATTATCATCCAAGTAACAAACTTCGTACTGAAAAGGGATAAATCTAGGCTCTATAGAAATATTTCAATTTCTATAGATGGATAAACAATATCCGACGCAAGATACAGTTATAAAGTTGGTCTAATTTACCGTTTAACCTTTAGGCTACCAATGTAACTAGGTTTCTTTATTGTTATTTTATGGAGAAAATTGAATGTATGATATCAGTGAATACAAATCTGACAATTAAAGATTAAATCTTTCTAAGGTCGTTCATATACTAACTAAATATGAAAGAAGAACAAATTAAACCTTCCATTCAGAGGTGTGCAACGACTGATATAGTAACATTAGGGGACAAGGAATCCAAACAACTGGACGTTTCGACAAAAGGGGCAATAAAAAAGGCAGTGTCTATGGATTCAGGGGAGGCAGAAATCTCCAAAATGTCGAACTCGTGTTTAGGATCTTTAAAACGTCGTTCTGTCCGGGTAAGATTTTTACATCTTGTTACTAAAATTATTTGTGGAGATATTCTCAAAACATGTCGCGTTCTCATAAGATCGTAGATCGTTCAAAATTTAAGGTAGATCTATGTCATGTAAGAAATACTAATTTTGAATAATATCCACTTTATTCTTTAATAGGAAAAATCACAAATTTTTATTCCTAAATTTTTAACCTGATATATTTTGACTGTAATGTACTCGGTACTTATTTTTCAGAAACGAACAAGCAAAAGGTCAAATAGACAAGAACCAGGATATGGTCACGATACCGAGACTTACGAGAAAATACGAGAACGTGTCTTACAAGAACGCGCGGTGACGAACGCTATAGACGCTTTACAAGAACGCTGGAGAATGTTAACATTTATGTATGAAGATTGTGTTAAAATGAATCAGACCAGGAAAGAACGAAAATTGAAGAAACTATGTGTGAAAAGACAGTTTGAACTTATCATGGTTGTATCGACATTTGCTCTTTTTTGTCTATTTCTATCAGTATTGATCTTTGTTTTACTGAACATATGGGAAACTGTAGGAACTAAAAGTATTCCTGATTTTCAGTTTCCAGTTAGTTAAACTGAATCGAACTTATATGAAAAAAGTTTGAGTTTTTGTGTCATAAATTCAATAAAATATAGTCGTTTAAATGAAATTATGACATCAGGTCATGTTATGATTCTTGATGGCATGTTACATTAACGGACTTATTAACTGGATTATTACATTGTATAATAAATTCAGATATTGTGAGGTGTTGAATTATTTTCCGTACTGTTTCGCATTTTGTACTTTATGTACGTTATGATATTTATCGTGAACAGGAATATACATAAAACCTATGTCTGCTCTTTCCAGTGTGGATTTATTTGATAAAGTGATATTATTCGAACCTCCTTCGGGATTCATTTGATGTAGATCATTTAGAAATTGATATTCTATATTTGTCGCCTTATTGGAATAAACCTTTAGAAAGATATTAACGTGACTGAGTTTAATTCATTCTATTATTTTATTATGAGTTAAATACACACTACATGCGTCCGTAATCGACCGGTTATTGTTGTTCACTTCAAAAGAATTTGCCCCCACTCCCCCAACCGCTGAAGATTCGAATCCCGCCAGGGACTTTGAGTTCTTTCATTTGAGTGAGCTCGCCAGGGACTTTCGATTCTTTCAATTGAGTGAGCTATCCAGGTTCTAGGTAACTATATGACCTGTAGAGTGTTCGGGTGACTAACCTCCCCATAAAAAATGTTTGAAGAATATTCTGGCTTTTCTATCTGGTTTTGCACAATGAAACGTTTACAGGTTATGATCTATGGACAAGTTATAATATCTTATAAGTATGAAAATGCAAAAAAAATGAATCCCATTGAAAACATTTCAATTTATAATGCCGAGTCATGTTCATGGAATCGGATTGCTGACACAATCTGTCTCCAAATTAGATTTGGAACGTATTTCAAAACACATCATATTAAACAATGATATCGATTAAATCGCATGCTGCAGTTTTCAGTTATAGACAAATCGTGAATTAAACTGCATAATAGAATTATTAAAAGTCTGCAGGATCTTAGAATATGATAACAGAAACATTATAAGCGAAAAAGAATAAGGGGTCACTGATCTCTATTTGATTAATCTGCCCTTGAATTTGATTTTGTTTTTGCAATTTCTGGTCATTGGTTTTGTAAGTCTGAAAAACTTTCTTTTAATTTGGGTTCAGGATTTTCTTGGTGTCTAAGTCACAATACAAAATTTCAATCTTTTTTACTTAAAGTAAGAAAACCGTCTGCATTATACATGTATAAATTGATGCTCGTTCAACCGCTGGTATCATTCTCAGCTCGATTGACAGACTGTGCACAAGAACCCTCTTAGCAGGTACAAACAAGTACGCCAACCTTGTTGTTTACATAGGTCCAATAGTTTTGTGTACTTTGCTTTTTCTCCTCCCGTAGGTTTCATCTTGTTTCCAAAGGTATTTTAAGCTCAAAGGAAATGAGCTTCTACCCTGTATTAGATCACAATACAATATCTGGTCTCAATAAGGTCGTGTGTATATTTGAGTTTATTTATATGCGCCACCGGTTGCCCATATGGGCGAGTCCTCAAGAAGAATGTTAGTCATTTAAGACTTTGAAGGATAGTGCAAGATACAGACACAGAAAGGTTCACATATCCCAGTAGCTTCTCCTGGTTCTTTAGCGTGCCAAGCTTTTAGCACTCATACACGGTGCCTCAATTTAAAGTCTCATCCGAAAGACTGATAAGTAAACTTAGTTGGCCAGCCCGGGAATTGAACCCACAATGTCGAGATTACAAGTCTCGTGCTCTAACCGATTAAGCTATGCGGGCTGGCTCAATGGGGTCTGTACACTGTTTGAGAAGACACGTTTCCTAACGATGTCAGCTCCCATGTTGCCATCGGAAGTATAGCATATTGTGTCTCTGTGCTGAGAAGTCCAAGCTTCTCTAATTGAAACTATTGCGGTATCTTCACCTAAGTTCTTCTCATTTCAAATCCATATGAGGATTTGCCGTCGTATGAGGTTGTGATGTTTCTACTTTTGCTTCGCTCTCTTCAACTTTCCTTCTTTACATAGCTGGTCATTTTTATTTTTGTATTATATTCATTTTCGAAATTTTCATTCTGGAAATACCGATACGTCTTTATGCAGTGATGAAGAAAAAATAATTTATTCAACATTAAAGAATTAGTAGAGTATGTTAAATCGGAAGACATGATACCAAAGTGGCTTGCCCTTTAAGTGTAATTGTTTTAAAAGTTTTGACTTTAACTGTCTGATGATAAAAACATTTGCATTTTAAGGTTGTGAAAATAAATACATTTGGTAAATTCATTAAGACTTAAAACCTAAAACTAGATATATGCAACATTAAATGAAAGTTATAAGAGATGATTTTCTACATGAAGTGTATATAATTTGACCTTTATACGCTCAAATTCAACAGGGGGGTCAGAATTAAAAACATTTATAATTTACGATGAGCCCAGTGACCCTACTTCACACAATATATTACAGCAGTATAAAATAGTTTTATACATGTAATCAAACAAAGAAAGATATAAAAATGTTTTCAAAGTATCTTAATGTATTTACTTTTTCGTTTTAGATTTTATTTGTTTGATATTAAGTCACACCGACATAGTAAAGGTCATATGGAAACTTTCCAGCTTTACTGGCGGAGAAAGACTTCAGGTGCCGCTCCTTACATTTTAATCAGGCATGAGCGAGAACCTGTGTAGAACGACCGACATTCCGTGAGCCAGTGGGCATGAAAGAATACGACAGGATTCGAAACCACGCATTGAGGCACAAGTGGTTTATCTAATCAGGAGCTAGGAAGCTGAAACCTAAACCTAGGTGGGTGATATTAAAGATTGCCATAATGCAAGGGCACATTCAAAAACTTCAAAATAACATATGAACCCACTTACCTGCAACCAATACGTGCGGGAGTTATAAATATCCATGACTCGGTAGCCATTTTGTCATGTTTGCAACCATTTCGCTGGCTTGAACCAAGTGTACAACCAGTGTGTTGTCCCTTGTTTGACAATATTTATTAGGAAACCACTCGGCCACGCTGTCAAGATTTTCAGCAGATATTAAATTCGTAGATTCTAACTTGCTACACGTGGTATTGGTAAATTCACAGATTAACAATAAACACGTGTACAAAACTGCCAGTGGATCATTATACAGAAAAAAACACAACTTATCATATATCTGTGTATATGAAGATGTTTACGATTATTTCTAGGTTTGTTTCATTTCGCTCACATATAGCTAGTCAATTTAAAAGGTAAATGCGTGTTGCGAAATTTTAAAAATTTTTTCAACTTCAATAAAAAATGAATAAAAAGATTTTAACTTATTTGAAATTCAAAAATTTTAAAAGATCGACCAAAAATTTTTCCAACAACGAAAATAAAAATCCCGTCGTTAAAAAAAGTCGAAATTTTGGTTTAAAAATAAAAACGCCATTCTGTTCTTGTAAGATTTTACTTAGTTTTAACATCTAAATTTGAGCCGTGTCACGACAAAACCAACATAATGGGTTTGCGACCAACATGGATCCAGACCAGCTTGCGCATCCGCGCAGTTTGATCAGGATCCATGCTGTTCGCTTACAAACCCTATAACAAGTAAAGAAACTGATAGCGAACAGCATGGATCCTGATCAGACTGCGCGGAGAATGCTAGAAACCCGGTAAGCGTGGATTTCACCATCTACCTTTCGCTGAAAACATGACCTTTGCTTTGGGTTTGATAAGCTATAAGTCATTGTATCCTATAATCCTAGCTTTAGGTTGGAGACGGGGGTAACCTTCATTGAGGAAAAAACATAACGAAACGAAAGAAAGAAAAAAAAACATACGTGACTGGTATGACATAATCGTCGTATACAGCGCAGTAGATATTGAAACACTTGCTTTAATGACATCTCTTCATTTCTAAGATTTGTCTAGTACTTCAAGAGTTACTAGTATATCAATAAAGGATTGTTTAATATAAACATAACCATTAGTTATATCATTATACGGTTTTCTAGTAACTACGATGCGTGACAGCCTACCAAACTAGTGTGTAATGGTTGATAGAAAAAATCCCAAAGAATTCCGATCACTCATTCTTATTTTTTGGTTATTAAAAAATTATTCTAAAATTATCACCATAAGCAGTTTATATAAGAAATAACCGATACTTCTTGTAAAAATACTCGTACACTGGAATTCATACTACGTACGTCGACATAAATCATGTATATACAATGACCTTATTTTATTTTGGGTATTTTCTTTTAAAGTAATTTCATATATTTTTACGCCTTGTTTTTTACTTCCCATATCGTCATGATACTTTGAAGTAATCGAAATGAATAATACATGAATAATGTTGCTTGTTTTTTTCTTTCAAATTATTATATACATATACATGTACATTTTTATTATAATTATATAATTTTTACATTGTTCTCAATTGAGTATTCTACCCGCGGTGCAGTTGTATTCTGGCGATGAACATTGTATATGTTAATGTCAAATAGATATTGAAAATTGAATTTAGTTGTATAGAACTCATTGTTCAAAATCAAAATATTTGAAATATTTGACGCTTACTAGCTAGAATCATATATGATTGTACTTGACTGCCAGTACTTGACTGACAGTACTTGAAAGTAATTGGTGGTTAAATTATCTTATGCCTGTAAACATGACATGACATGTCATTCATTTTTGTCTTTAATTAATATGAATTAATCTATCTCCACGAACACTCGGAAGAAGGATGTGAATTTTAACGATGAATTGAAGATGTTTTTTTCCTATAAGAAATAAATAAAGAGACAATGCTGTTTTCTTGTAACTGTATTTTCGGTTGTCTATTTTAACATGAATTTCATAAATCAGTATCCTATAACTCTATTCGTCAGAAATTCCAGATCTTAAATAATAATGTAGATTTTCCAATTATTTGTAATTCCCCATACTTTGATGATACAAGTTCTAGGCAAATTAAGCCAACATATATAATGCAATGACAGTATTTCATTCAGCTCTAGTTTTTTACATGTTCGCATATCTAATAATGACGCCACAGCATTTATTACATTTTATTGTTCATGTTCTCTAAACTTTTTATTGTACCCATTTCAAGTGTAAGGAAAATAGGCCATTCCATCCCTTTTAGCTGGGTAACCTGATATGTGTGGAAGGTCCACAAACGTATAATGAAGAGTTGCTGCACAAAGAAAGAAAGAAAGAAAGAAAGAAAGAAAGATAAATAGAACAGAGACTAAGCGATTCTCTCTTAGTACATTAAATAAATTAGATATTTTTAAATAGAAGAGTTCATAGTAGTTGATATACTTATAATTTTATATATATGACGTGCAAAAAAATACTATTGAAAATTTTACAATTTTAAGGAGCTCGGTAAAAGAATCGACGCAATTCCTTCCTTTTGCTTCTTAACAAG